TCTAGCATAATATATAATTCAACATGCTGTGTTCAGTAATTTACCCCAAGTACCTAGTACAGAACTCAGCACCCAGGAGGCACTCGGCAAGTATTTGTTGAACGGATGGATAATGCCTCAAATCACCCTGTGCGCTCCCCGGGAGCAGCTACTGCATTAAACATCTTACACGGTCGCCTTTTTTAGATCTCAAAACACACAGAACTGCTTTCCTCAGTCTACAGAGGAAGAAACTGGGAAGTTAAGGAGGTTATGTGAAGTCGCTTTCCTGGCTGCGAGTGGGGGCCTGTTTGACCCCAGAGACTATCCATATCCCATTTAACATCCAGAAACGGACATGCAGAAAACTGATAACTAATCTGAGGCCAACAGCTGAGGTCAGGCAACAAATCCACACGGAAGTAGATTGCGTTAACTACACATTTTGAATCCATATTAGAGTGGGAGACAGAGTGAGTTTTAGGTCCGCCTCACTCCCAATTGTGCTCAGAGGTTTCTCTTTTTAGCACTGGCATCTTCTGGCTGGATTAGAACTAATTTGAATGTTACCATGGTATTTCCGAACTCTAGTAGTTTCTGTCTCTCTGTCTCTCTCTGTCTCTCTCTGTCTCTGTCTCTGTCTCTCTCTGACAGGGTCTCACTATATAGCTCAAGCTGGCCTCAAACTCACAATGATTCTTCTGCCTCAGCCTCCCAAGTGCTGGGATGGCAGGTGTGTGCCACCATGTCCAGTTCAAACTCTAGTGGTTTCATAGGAGGTTATCGTGTGGGCAGCTCTAGTGGGGACTGGCCAGTGTGACATGACTGTAGGTGAAGACTAGGTAAAGTCAGGGCGCCCTGGGAAAGCCATTCGGCATTCTAATCCTCCCACTGATGTCACTCAGGGTCCTTCTGCATCTCCATGTGTAATTCTAAACTGTGCGTTAGAGTCTGTCAGGGGCCAGGCTTGGCAGTCACGCACACCCTTTCGATTTTCTTTTTCGGAATTTCTTGGCATTTATACCTACTGTTCCCTGCTCTAGGTCTTGGTTTCTTTGGGTCTCTGCGGCTTCTGCATGAGAAGGGTAAACGAGGGGTAAGGACAGTGCAAAAGTAAACACTGACGCTCCAAGAAAACCCTGAGGGTGGTACGGCTGGGGAAGCTGCTGACTACAGCCTGTCCTTGGGAACCCGAGGACGGGGGGACACTTACACAGGCCAGGGGTTCAGGTCAGGTCTGTTACTTCTTAGGGTGCTGAAGACAAGCCACTGAATCACCTTGGCTTTCAATTTTATTTTATCTGCTAGATGAGGATGGTAATTTCTACTTCCCAAAGGTGCTGTAAAGATGCCATAGATAGAAGACACAGTGCTGAATTGCTTCAGATGGGCTGAATTTTAATGTGTTTAGAATAAGAAAATTAAATTTCTCCCATTACTGTGGAGGTTAAGAGTCCACTATAAATCCTTTCACTCTTTGAGAACTCTATTGTGGTGTTCTATGGCTTTAAAAGTTATTCACTCCTCCTTGCCAGGTATAATAGGCTATTCCTTTCATTATTTCCAACTTAATGTGTGATCTGTGACCAAGAGAAGGGAAGGTACCCTGCTTCCATAATACCACATTCTGTAAAAACACCTGTTTTACGTGACCCTAAACCTTTAGATTATTAGCATCAGGAAAGGGTGCTCAGGTCACACACTGTAGACTTTACATGCAGACTTTCTAGAGCACTGGTTCTAACCTTTGTAAGGCTACAGAGTTCTCCGAGACTCTGATGAACACTACAGTCCCGCTCTCCGAAAACGCATCTGTGTGTAATTGTGCACACACTGACAGAATACATCAGATTTTGCACTTGGATAACTTTAGATCATCCAAGACTCTGTTGGAACCCACTCAGGAACAGAGGTTTAGAACCCTTGCCTAATGGTGGCAAAGTGATACTTGTTGATTATTAGTACAAGAACAATCTTGTCATTCCAAGAGCTTTTGTGCTTTCTTTAGGGTTTTTTTTTTTTTTTTTTCTCTCACTGTGACCAATACCAAAGGCATTTAGAGTGAGCCTTCCAGAACTTATTTTGTAACCCACTGCTCAGAACCCAGTCAGTAACCAACCGTGCTGAAACCACACTGACGCCGAGCAGGCCATTGTTCCTAAGATCAAAGGCCAGCCAGGCCCTGAGCACGTAGGACTCTCCACAGTTTCCACTCGAATACTGGACATCCAGCTACAAAGCAGAGGCCAAAAATAGACCAGGCCTAGATCTGACTAAATGAACCCCACAGAGGAGCATTTCCAGCTCTGGGGGCCTCCGTGGACAGCAGTGCTCTCCATCCAAAGAGGTACTGTTCTGTACTTCCTTTAGAAGGAAAACGTCATTTCACTCTGAATAAGCCTGAATACAACTGGAAGCAATTTGGAAGAAGATTTGAAAGTGTTCAAAAAAGTATTACCTGCACCTGTTAGTTCTAGGTCTAAAAAAAGAAAACAAAATACCTCCAGGATTAGGATGGCCTTCTTTGTCTGCTACATTGCACGGCACAGAGGAAAACAGGCAGCATTTTCCACCCCTCAGTTCTACCTCAGAGTTTCTACCCAAGGTCTGAGTTGTTCAAGCACAGCAGCCATTGATAAACACCTACCTACCTGCATAAATACATACATAGCAGGAAGGAACAGGACGTGCTGTTGAGCATAGCAAAGTGAGTGCATTTTTCTAGTTCCACTTCCCATAGAAAGTCTATTATCTAGGGTTTTTATAGATAATAGATTATAGGCTAAGTCTTCCAAAGATTTTATAGAGCAAATATTTTTGAATAAAATATATTTAAGAGATCAATTGTTTTTTTTTTTTTTTTTTTTTGGTTTTTCTCCGGTACTGGGAACCGAACTCACGACCTTGCACTTGCCAGGCAGGCGCTTTGCCGCTGAGCTAAATCCCCAGCCCCGAGACCAATTGTTAATGTTTGATGTAATAAATCAGATTATGAATAAATATGAATATTATGTACATTGCAAAAGACTTTTATATATTTAAAATAATGTTAACATAAACTTTTGCAAAAGAGTTGAAGAGATAAAAATAAAGATACAAGTACATAAAACTCTATAGATTCTTCCATACTGGGAAAATGAAATAAGCACACAAGAAGTTAGGGTAACAACTGCACGATAATGAAATGCCCATCTTTTATATCCCTGGCACATACAGTCCAGGAAAATGTAATCCTCCTCTATTACAAGACAGCTGCTTTCCTAAATGAGGTCTCGAACATAACCACGGAACATTTTTCAGGAGAATGAAATGATGCTGCCGCATACACACGGTGTTCATTCCTTCCAACTTTTCCTTGGAAGAATTCGTTGGAAGCAAGTGCTAAAAGAAACAAATTTCCCCTCGGTGACACTATTTCCATATGTGCAGCCAACAGGGGATCCTGACAGACGTTCCCAGGAGGTCACCGTTGGTGACGAAGTGAGAGCTGCGGAGCAGGCGCTGCCCCAGCGCAGCGGGGACCTGGGACTCTCTGCCTGTGGAAGCCTCCTTCACACCTAGTCACACAAACCGCCCCATGATTTCCTCAAGAACTTTTTAGATGCCTAGAGGTAAATGTTTTTTCCAGTTCCCCTGCCAGATATTTTCTGAACTTAAGTTTTGGAGGACAAAATTATGTTATGAAAAAAATGCCATTTTGCCAGAAGAAGATTAGAGGCACCAGGTGTGTCAACTACATAGCCCAGAAATGTCTACCTTCTGAAAACTGGCAATTCTTTTTGTAGGCTACAGATGTTAGTGAAGAGCCCCTGTACCTTGCAAGTGGTTTTTAGATGCCCATGAAATAACAAGAAAATAAATATTGCCTTGGACTGAGAAAGTAAATGTCTCCCCAACACTCATCAGGTTGGACCAACAGACGTGGAAAAGCCAACTTCAAAGTTGACAGGAAAGGGCATTCTCCCAGGGACTCTGCTGCTCCATGCTGCCATGGTAACCTCTGTCTGTCCGTCAGCACATGGCTACAGACTCACCATGAAACTCTCTTTTGGGGCCAGGGATGTAGCTCAGTGGCACAGTGTCTGCCTGGCAAATGCAAGGTCCTGAGTTTGATTCCCAGGACCAAAAAAAAAAAAAGAAACTTTCTTTTGTGATATCCACCACTGTCAGTGAGGTCACTGTTTGAAACTGCCTCAGCAAGAGTGAAATATCTCACTCCTGTCAGAGGATCCCAGTCACTCGCTGACCTGGAAAAGCAGTCTTGGTTCCAACCCCAGACCAAGAGCTCCAGAGGAGTTTTGGATACAACATCCCACGTTTATCCTGATTCTATTGCTAAAGAAATGAGGCCCTGGGTTTGCCTGTCAGACCAGACAGACGTCTAAACTCCACTTTTCCTAGAATCCTAAAATAACACTTGTCTAGAGTAGAGTCCCCCTCATTACCGGGGGCTGATGGATCTAATTTTGTAGGAATATTGGGTTGTTTCTATTGTTCTTAGGTTGACTCAGATAAGGCCATGTTTTTCAAAATAAAATGCTCCAGGTAAAGAAAATATTTGCTGCTTGACTAATAGCTCAGAATTTTGAATACAATCTTTCAGATATTGAAAAAAATGAATGCATCTTTGCTGTTGTGTAGCCTCCTGTGGCCTGTGAACTGTAAATTCTATGCAGGTTTCTCATCTAAGCAGAAATGTTGTAAGAGCTAGGAAACCCGCTGTGAGTGCTGAAATGATATTTTCTGCCTCTGCTGCTGCTGCAGTTACCCGTGGCAAGCTTCCCTGCTTCTAGAAATGTCATGGCTGGCAACTGAACACCACCAGTGCGACTGTGAGGCTCTCTGTGAATCTCAGAGACAAGAAAGGGAAACAGGTAGTAAAGACCCGGGCCTCAGGTTGCCTGGAACAGTCTCTCTGCACACCTCTAGGGCTGCCATATTTGAGGAGAAAGAACAGTGACCGGGGAGGGCTATCCAGAGCACATGCCTCTTCCCAGGTTGGAAGGCCGCGCATAACCTACCCGTGGGAGTAGCCATAGTCATAGGCTGAGGCGGCCCTGCGTCTGACTTCAGCCCCGAGAGAGTAGTGCGAGGCCTGCTGCTGGGAGGAGGCTGCTACCTGGCTGAAGGCCTGGGACTCCTGGCGGTGGGCAGCAGAGGAGCGGCTGGTGTAGGCCGTGGAGCCGTGCGTGTAGATGGCAGAACGCTTCTTCTCCTGCTGGTACTGGCTCACGGTGGTGCGAAGGTCCTTGTCCCGGTAGCTGAGGTCATAGTGCTGGTGGGACTTCTGATAAAAAGGCAGAGCCATCTTGTGCCCCTCAGGAAAGCAGGCAACCTACAGGAAGACAGCGATTTTTGAGTGAACTGCTAGGGAACAAATTCCACAGAACAAGTCTTCTGCACCCGCCTGTGAGACTTCGCACTCTCACCTTCTGGAGAGTAGGCGGAAAAGGACGAGGAGTGGAGTTTACACAATAAACTCCCACGTGTGCCCCCGCCCCTGCCACGATGCCTTCTTTTTCCTCTGTATCTAGGAGGGCTTGACAGATTGTCCGTACCCTGGATATTGGTGGCTTTTTTCTCTGACCCTCTATAATACTTCTTTCTAATTTTCTGGCGTCCCATCCTGAGGGTTTCACCTGGGAGACTATGTAATGCCAGAGAGTAAAGTGGTGTTCTCTCAACAAGTAATTAGTGAGCATCTACTGAACAAAGTCTCTGGCCTAATACTCTGGTATAGAACTGCACCCCTGCACACATGTTCTAGTGTAGAAGGCAGATGACAGTGAAAATAAATAAGCAAAGCAGGAGATCTATCAGACCGGTTTAAGTGCCATAAGCAGAAAGCAGGAGAGTGAGACGGGAGGAACACATTTTATTTTTTTAATTTTTATTTCTAAGAGTCCATGCTTGCCATACCTACTGATTACACTCCTCGTCCGGGGTTGGGCGTGCATATACACATCTTAATTTTTTTTCCACCCTCCCCCCATCTCTTGGTCCCCTGCCCTTTTGCAAAGGATCTCTCCCCCTATTTCCTATTATCTAGCTTTTATTTAGATACAGGTTTGGATAGCCTCGTGCGGGTGGCTTCGCTGGAAAGTGGCGTCAGAGCAGACCGCATGGGAAAGAGGGCTCCAGTGGGAAAACCCATGCCACCGCCCGGAGCAAAGAGCACACCTGTCCCCCTGCTCCGGGATCGCCAACAGCCAGTGGGGTTACAGGGGATGGGCGGGGCTTAAGGTACCGATGACGTCAGAAGTGTGTGTGGGAGGCAGATAGTATAAGGCCTTAGAGGCGACAGAGAGGAATTCGGTTTTTATCCTGAATAAAGAAGCCACTGCAAGGGTCTAAGGGTCACTTTTGCTTATGTCTGAAGACGAGACCATTCAGGGACCAGCAGCAAAGCCAGGAGATCCATCAGAAGGCTGTTCTGGGCTGAGTTCTAGCTCCCGAAAATTCCTATGCTAAGGGCTCAGCCTCTGCTACCTCAGAATGTGACTGTGTTTGGAGACAGAGACCTAAAAAGGCATTAAAATGAGGTCGCTGGGAGGGCTCTAGTTCAACAGAAGAAAAGGAGATTGGGACACGTGTCGTGGAAGATCACGTGGACACACGGGGAGAAGCGGGTCAGCCACAAGCCAGAGTGAGGCCTCGGAGAAAACAGTCCTATCAACACCCCATCCCAGATTCCCAGCCTCCAGAGCTGTGAGAGCATGAACTGCTGTTGGCTCAGCCGTCTGGTCTGTGGTGCTTTGTTATGGTGGCCTTAGGGTGGCGCACACACACACAAAGGCCACTGCGATGGGCCGGGGGAGCCATGGCTAAGGGTAACAGAGGAAGCTGGAGAAGTGGTCAGAGTTGAGGTACAACCAATAACATGGCTGAAAGTCCTGAGGGTGAAAGACAGAACCCCAAGCTGCTGCTGACTGAGATGGGGGGAACTACAAATCATCCATATGGGGTAGAAGAACAGGGGACTGGCTTATCATTCAGTACCAGGGATGGAATCCAGGGACTCACACACGCTAGGCAAGTCTCTACCACTGAGCTACTCCCCTACAGAGATGGTCTGCGTCTGAGATGTGGGCTGGTCCTCCATGTTAAGCGGGAAGCTGTGTGTGGGACTCAGACATGGAGTCCAAGGTGGAGTCTCCATCTGGGAGACAGCACGTAGGTAGTGATGAAAGCCAAGCACACGGGCGGGAACAATTACACAAGGAAAATTAAGGGCTACGACTGAGCCCTGGAGTGTGGTAAAGTTATAAACAAACTCTCTCAAATCTCAGAAGCACTTCAAAAACGCATAGTTTCAAACCAGAAAAGGATTTGCTTGATTAGGAATCTGAAGGCTTCCCCTCTTCCTGCATAAAAAAGTACGGGAGCCGGTGGCCCTCCATGTGGCAGCTGACTTTGTGAACCTGACGTGACAGTTCTGAAAGTCAAAGGTAAGTTTGCTTAGCATTGGGAGGACACACCTCACATCCCTAGCTTTCTTCAATAATCTCTTCACTGACAGGCCGTCAGCTGTACGGACAACCTGGAATGAGGTCATAGTTTTCCTGAGGTTCCCCCCTCCCCGTTTTTAAAATGCTTTTGTTCATGTTCTGAAATGTCCTTTTAAAGTTTTATAAGAAAATTAGTTTTGAAGTAATCAGGCTTTTCTTCCCCCAAGCCTTATTTTTCTTAAAATTCTACTGAGGAGTAAATCTTATGATAATTTTACCATATTTTTGGTCAAATTTCAAAGTACTTTTTATTTAAACTATTTAAAAAGTCAGTATGCATTCCCTAGAGGAGAAAATCCAGCAAACTTCACTCCAGAAATATTTATCTTAGGCCTAATGGAAGATATCAGTCTACATGGCATTTCCTAAGAGGAAAAAATAGCTGCTAGAAAGCCACTCTGCTTCAACCCTTAAACAGATTGTTATTTTGTTATTAATTCCATAATACTTATTTTTGTGCAATGAATAATTATTAGGTGAACTATGATAGTACAGGAGTTAGACTATATTAATATACAATTATGTGAGGTAGGTATAAAAATATTAGGTAAGCTTCTATAATGATACATACCACATCCTCACACGGCAAATGTTACGTAAATAACTTCCAAATAAATAATAAAGGACCTTCTATTGCATTATGTTATAAGGTGAATTCACTACCCAGATGATTTGAAATGCTATAATTTTTACAAAATAAAACCTTTAAATGGTGTGCCCCAATTCTACTATCCATTCTAATTTTCCCCAGTACATCTGCTTTTCATGATATTTAGTTTCCATGCACATAGATTGTTTATTACAAGTAAACAGGGTTTGACTCTAAGTCACCAGGGCTGGCTGACCTCTGGACAGGGTATAACTACTGCTTCATCCAGTAAGCAGGGATTACCCCCAGCCCATGACAGCTAGAGTTTGTTGGGAGCAGATGATTTTGTTGTCTTCTGTTTCTTTAAAGCCTACATTTGCTGTCTGAAAATAATTTGAGAATTTAGGCAGAAATACAGATGCTATAGCTGCAGCCTGGAAATGATACTTTTGCAGAGGCAAGCTCAGGCTATCACGAAGCACTCCTGCACGCATTCACATTGCGCTGTCAGAGCAAAATCCCTGAATCACGTTCCAGTGGCTGCAGATTTAATTTGCCTCCTTTTGGTTTAATTTGTAATTGAGTACTGCAGGCATAGAGAGGAGGAAGACACAGGCTATCCTGTCCCTCAGCCACTCCAGACCTGAACCAAACTTCTGAACTATGCCTTGGAAAGTACTTACACTTACAATGTATCTAAGACAGACACGATCCTACAGCTCCAGGAATAGCAACCTCATTTAAAAAGAATACTGTGATCTGAGAGAACTGCCTCACAAGCCCACTAGCACCCTGTGGTCCTGGTTTCCCTTCCAGGAGCTTCGCTTTCCTATTTCTCTGCTATTTTGACATCTCTGTGAGGAAACAGCTGAGCTGAGAGGATAGAAGGACGCAGGCACTGACTGAGCGCATTTTTCTGCACCAGTGTCATACTTACCAGCTTCCAAAGGACCGACGGTGGTGGAAATGTTCCGCTGCCGTGAGGAGCTGGACGAGACGATGAAAACCCCAGCTAGGCTGGATCCAAGGAAGAGTTAAGAGGCAGGGCTGGAGGCAGGAACCTGGGGGCCAGTTCAAAAATAAGGCATGTGGTCAGGCAGCAGAATGTCAGGCCTCACAGCCAGCCTTTTATGGCCAACTGGTAAGGTAAATATAGCAGCAGGTGGGGAGGGGAGTCCCAGACCCAGAAGAGGACGGGCGCGTGTAGGTAGCTGTCTCACTAATGCGGTTCCCTCAATGCCAGGCAACGCTCTGGGCTGATTAAATCAAAGACAGGCTTTGCATGGGGCTGTCAGAGCAATGCTCTATGTAGCTTTATCATCGAGTATTTGAAAGTGTCATGGCAAGAGTGGTCAGTGTTGAGAGCTAAAAATAGGTATAGTAATCTGATTCTCCAAATGGACTTCACGGAATGCCAAGACACGGCCCTGGGTGTGCTGTTAGAAACACATGTGTGACGCCTTTCAAAGACCCAAAGGGAAAGAAAGAGCCTCAGGCCAGCTAGAGGCAAAACAAGAATGAGGTTACGTGTGGTGGTAGTTTTGGCCTCATAACGCACAAGTCACTGCTTCTGTCATTTCAGGAAAATTATAAAGTAGGTCTGCTTCCTTCTTAACCTAAAGCCTTTTGAGAAGGATTTGGTGGTAGTGGGGTATTGGGGGTTAAACCCAGGGCCTTTGTACTAAGCTACATCCACAGCCTTTTTTAATTTTTTGAGACAGGGCCTTCCTAAATTGCTCAGGCTGTGCTTGAAAGTGTGATCCTCCTGCCTCAGCCTCCCAGAGTGTTGGGATTATGGACATGCATAATCAGACCCAGCTGGAAATCAGTGTTTTATGTTTCTAAAACTCAGAGTAGGGTCAGTGTAACCAACAGGAGAGTCTTTGTTTTTCAGACGGTGTACCCAATGAGGAGGTGTAATCTGTGGTTAGAGCCTCACTGTGGGATCTCACTCAAGTCAGATCCAGATTCTAGTCCACGGATGCCCTTTCATAGTCACGTGACTTGAAGCAGTTTCTTCTCCTGCCTATGCTTCGGTTTCTTTCTTTGAAAAAATGGAGATACTAGTATCCCAGTTACAGGACTGCTGTGGAAATCAAACATGATCATGCAGACGAAGCACTTACCCAGGGACTGCCACAGAATAAACACTCGCCAGTGTCAACTATTACTACTAAAGGAATAATAGAAAAGTTCGTTGTTCACTTCTGGCGGACCGTGGGAGGTATGCTGCGCGGCAAGACCAGGCGAGGCCAGGCTGCCCTGGACTGCCTCGAGGTGCTTGCTGGGATCCTGCCGCCCTGTGACAAGGAAAAGCAGACGGTGGCTCCTGCTGCCCTCAAGGTTGTGCACCTGAAGCCGATGAGGAAGTTCCTCTACCTCGGCCACCTGGCTCATGAGCTTGGGCGGAAGTACCAGGTGGTAACCGCCACCCTGGATGAGAAGAGAGAGGAGGGAGAAGGCCATGACCCATTCCCGGAAGAAGAAGCCCATTATGAGGCTGTGGAAACAGGCTGAAAAGAACGTGGGGAAGAAATGTTCACAGAGGTCCTCAAGACCCACAGGCTGCTGCTCTGAGCCCAATAAAGACTGTTTAGGCCTCAAAAAAAATTTTTTTTTAAGTTCACTGTTCAGAGTAAATATGGTAAACAGACATATTCTGATATATGGGCCTGTGTTCTGACAATTGATTACACTGACTGAATATACATCATTCATGTCTATCAAATACTGAACACTTTCTTTTCAAATAGTCATTCTTACCTTAAATTTATTTTTAATTGCCACATAAAATGTATACATTAAAGGGGTAGTGATGTTTCAACTCAGGTATTTATTGTGCAATGTTTAAATCATGATAAACTCCTCTCCTCAAACATTTATCATTCTTTTATGATGAAAACATTCAAAATCCTTTCTAGCTATTTTTTTTTAAGTTTGTGAATTTTTTTATTTTAAAGAGAATTTAAAAAGGGACAATAGCAAAATGCCAACCACATAGACAAAAACAAAACAAAGCAAAAACAAGAAGAATGATGCAGGGTTTCGGAAACACAATGATAAGGATTAGCAGTGGTTGTTACATTTCATATTTTTATCTTCATTGAAGTTAGTCAAATTACCAGATGTAAGAATACAAGATTAATCAAACCATTAAAGGAAATACAAAATAAAAATTATAAATGATACAGAGCTTCACCAAACAAGATGATAGGAATTCAACAATGGTTGTTATGTTGCATATTGTTGTCTTCAAATTAGTTGTTCAGATTACCAGATATAAGCATGCATCTAGCTATTTTTTTTTTTGTTTGTTTGTTTGTTTGTTTTTGGTACCAGGAATTGAACTCAGGACCCTGTGCTTGCCAGGCAGGTGCTTGTGCCACTGAGCTATATCCCCAACCCCATAACAGCTGTTCTTACTGGGGCGATACGATTATTCTCCTGACGATAATGACTATTAACAGTGCTGAGGCCCTGTCACAAGCCGGTCACTGGACAGGCACTTTGTACACACGATCCCACTGACTTCTCATGGGACCCTGTGAGGGAGGTTGTGTTTGCTCCATTAAAGAGGTGAAGGAATCATGGGTCCAGGAGGTGTAGTCATTTGCTGGTATCACTCAGCTTGTGGGTGACACAAATGCCATTCAATCAGAGGTCTCTGGGTCCCAAAGTCCATGCAGTTGTCACACATGGCTGCATCGTCCAGTGACACTTCGTTGATAAGGAACTAATACATGAAATGGTCTTCCAAGTGCGACACAGGCCTCCCCTGGTAACACATCCGCTTCCGGGTGACCCCGAGCTATGAAACAGTGCGCTCCACTTAGTTTCTGAACCTGACATGTCTTCACCTACACACGCCTCCTGTCAGTGTGCGTCCTGGCAAGTTAGCTTTGTGGAACCCACAGGAGATTTTTTGAAGCTCTGCACTCCCCAAACCTCCACTTGTTCTCTAGATCTCAACACAGGATATGCAGTACGGGTCTTCTCGAGGGTTATCCTCCAGCTGCTGGGATGGTTCCTGGTGAGCCACTTCTCTAGAACCTGGTAAGTTGCTTGAAATCTTCTGAGAGCAGAGAAGAGGCAAAGCAAACACAAATAAGAGATGTAAACCATCACTAGTCAAGATTTAATGACCACTATATGCCAGGGACTAATGCCAGCTGCTTTATGGTATCTTTTTTGATCATCACAGATATATAAAAACGTTCTATTGCTTAAGAAATTGATATTTAGTAAAATTAAAGTCAGCAAACTGAAATGTGACGGAGGGTTCAAGCTCAGGTCTGATGCATCATGCCATCCTTTCTCTCGGCTAGCTCATCACACTGCGTGCATGGATGGGAAGGACCATGCTCTGTCGTGTCCATTAGAAGGGAGAACTGTTATGGAAGAGGGGCTTCATCTATGTGTCTTACGTAACAGGCCATGCTCTATTAGATCAAGTGTTTTGGCCACATTTATCAGTATATCAAATTGAAATCTGTACTGAACTTTGATCCTTGTTAAGAATTCAAAATGAGGGGGCTGAGGATTTAGCTCAGAGGCACAGCACCTGCCTGGCAAGTGCAAGGTCATGAGTTCGATTCCCAGTACTGGAAAAAAAAAAGAATTCAAAATGAGAAGTCCATATAAACTGTGGAAAACTAAAATACTGTAATTTATTCAGGAGCCCAGTGAAAGGAGCCCAGTGAAAGCCAAGGAGTGTTTTTTCAAAGAAATATCCAAGAAGATTGGACAAAAGAAGCATGAATACTTGAGCCAGGTGTGGTGGCACACGCCTGCAATCACAGCACTTGGGAGGCTGAGGCAGGAGGATCACCATGAGTTTGAGGTGAGCCTGGGTTACACAGTGAACTTAAGGCCCGCTAGAACTATGCAGGGAGACCCTGTCTCAAAACAAAACAAAACAAACTCAGTCCATGGTCCTAAGTGATCTTTCTGCTGTAGCACCACCTAGATTCACCCTTTCCTAAAAGCATTTTTATCCAGAATAATACCCATATAGTAAGTTACATAATGACATGCTAGCTAATAAAACTAATGAGAGAATTTAATTAGGCTCATTCAAATTAGTTATTATGCTTAATCTCAATTCTCTTACAGATGTGTACTCATTCTGATGTGTAATTATTCTAGTTTATCCATGATACCCTTACAGATATGTAATTATGAGGAAAACCTATGTGGAACCCTAGTCATTTGTTAATTTCAAATTTCCCGGAAAGTGATCTAATGAAACCAGTTTTTATTTTTATTTATTTATTTATGTATTTTTGTTTTTTTTTTCCCGGTATATATTAGCATAGAAGGACCCAGAGTGAGAGAGAAACTCATGCAGGGAGTGATGGGAACATGGGAGAGGTGGTGGGAAGATACCCGGAATCGAACTCACAATGTTGGACTTGCCAGGCAGGTGCTGTGCCACTGAGCTAAATCCCCAGCCCCTTGAAATCAGCTTTTAAAGAGCATGTAACCGCCAGGTGTGGTGTTGCATGTCTGTAATCCCAGCACTTGGGAGGTTGAGGCAGAAAGAGTGAGTTCACAGTCAGCCTGAACTATGTAGCAAAACCTGGTCTCAAAAGCCAATAAATAAATGAATTAGTAAATAAATAAATACATGCATATAACTGTAACAGTCTGGAAATTTCAGAAAATATTTGCTTCAAGAACTCGTTAGTTTTTTTTTTTAAATAGTCTTAAAGTAGAAATACAGTCTCTGTTCAAACTAATTCAGAGAATACTAATATTTTGTAAGTGTGAAGTAACACATCAAACTAGCAGTAGTGTATTATAAAAGCCAAAATGAATGTAGAAGTTATATTTAGCCACCTAACATTTTGTCAGCTCATTTTTATTTTACAGTAGTGGATGAAATACTTAATAGCAAATCACTGCTCTGTACGTGAGGGAATAAACAAAAGAAATATTCTTTTTAAAATGAAATATAAGGAAAACAAAACTGAATTTCAACTGATACTAAGAAAGTTTTGCCTTAAGTTGCTCATCTTAACCAACAAATAAAACCTATATATCCACAATATGTAAAAATAAAGACTTACATTTACTCAGTTCAGTTCTTAAAGCATTTATTAAAAACCTACTAGTATCTCAGGCATTGCACTATGCTCTGAGGTGCAGAGGTGACTAACTCAGACCTTCAGAGTAGCATGTATACAGTCGAGTAGACAAAGGTTCCTTAAGAATAATTATTTTATAGTTGGGTACGTGAAATGCACAGGCAGAAGATGTGATTCGCTGTTACATCCGTACAAAGCAAAACCAAAACAAA